TGAAGATATAAACAAATAAAAGGCTATACCATACTAATGGATAGGAAGGTTTAATTTAGTTAAAATTTTTATACTACTAAAAGCAGTCTACAGATTCAGTGCAACCTCAATGATATTTTTCACAGAAATAGAACAAATAATCCTTAAATTTTATATGGAACTACAAAAGAGCCTGAAAAGTGAAAGCAGTCTTGAGAAAGAATAACAAAAATGGAATTATCATGCTATGTGATATCAAACTATACTATAAGGCTATAGTAATCAAAACAGCCTGGCAGCGGCATGAAAACAGACACATCCTATATAATAAAAGGCTAATATGCAAATTGTCCCCTCGACCGGGAGTTTGACCAGTGGGCGGGGCCTGCCAGCCAACTGCCCATGGCTCCTCCCACGGCTGCCCCACCCCCTATTGGCCCCACCCACCCCAATCAGGGGTGGGGCTGGCCAGCACACCTCCCGCGGCCCCTCCCCTCAGCCAGCCTGGCCCTATTAGCCCCGATTGGGGCTGTCCGGCCAGACCTCACCCGTGCACAAATTCATGCACCAGGCTTCTAGTAGATTAATAGAACAGAACAGAGAACCCATAAATATACCCATGCTTATATGGTCAATTAATTTTTCACAAAGGAGGCAAGAATATACATTGGAGTAGAGACAGTCTCTGCAATAAATGGTGTTGGGAAAACTGGACAGACACATGCAAAAATGAAACTGGATCACTTTCTTACATCATATACAAGAAAAAAATTCAAAATGGATTAAAGACTTAAATGCAAGACTTGAAACCATAAAACTCCTAGAAGAAAACATAGACAGTAAACTCTTTGACAACACACTTAATAATATATTTTTTGGCTGTGTCCCAACAAATAAAAGAGAAGGGAACACTTTCTAACTCATTAGCCAATATTACCCTGATACTAAAACTAGATAAAGACACTACTAAAAATGACAGTTACAGGGCAATATCTCTGATGAGCATAGATGCAAAAATTCTCAATGAGAAAGTAGCAAATCAAAGTTAACAGAACATTAAAAATATTATACAACATGGTCAAGTGGGATTTATAACAGGGATGCAAGGAAGGTTCAATATCTGCAAAACAACGTGATACACCACATCAACAAAACTAAGGATAAAAATTGTGATAAACTTAATAGATGCAAAAAGGTATTTGACTAAATTCAACATCCATTTATGTATAAAACTATCAACAACTTGAGTACAGAAGAAACTTACCTCAAAATGATAAAGGCTGGAGATCCAAGATGGCAGCAGAGTAGGTGGAAGTTATACTCGCCTCCTCCCAGGTCCAAACTGGAATTACAACTAAATTATAGAACCATCAATCTGAATAACCAACTGGAAACTAGCTGAAGAGAAGTCTTATAACCAAGAATTTCAGAAGCTTATCAAAACTGAAATTAGGAAAATTGCCACCTCCAAATGATAAAGGCTCACAGCTAACCTCATACTCAATGATGAAAACCTGAAAGCTTTTCCTCTAAGATCAGAAACAAGACAGAGATGCTCACTCACCACTATTATTCAATATAATATTGAAAGTAGTAGCTACAGCAATCAGAAAACAAAATAAAAGATATTCAAATTGGGAAGAAGTAAAATGTCACTATTTGCAGATGACATGATACTACCCTATATAATAAAAGCCTAATATGCAAATTGACTGAACAGTGGAATGATCGGTGGAACAACCAGTTGCTATGATGCGCAATGACCACTAGGGGGTAGACGCTCAACGCAGGCCCTAGGCCAGCCAACGTGGGTGCCAGTGGAGGCCCCCTGATTGCCCTGCTGGTCACCCCGCAGAGTGAGGTGACTGGAGGCAATGGTGGGGCAGTCAGGGGGCGGTGCCGAGGGAGGTGACCAGCAGTGGTGGCGGGTGGCCGAGCTGGTAAGTGGGTGGCGCCAGGCCAACCAAGGTGGGTGCCAGCGGGGGCCCCCAGTCGCCCCGCCAGGCACCCCACAGATCATGCCTGATCACCGTCCAGGCCAAGGGACCCGACCCGTGCATTAATTTCGTGCACCGGGCCTCTAGTATATATAGAAAACCCTAAAGAACCCACCAAAAATTAAATACAATGAAGGAATTCACTCAAGTAGGAGGATACAAAATTAATATTCATAAATCCATTGCATTTTTATACACTAATGTATAATCAAAAGAAAATTAAGAATATCTCTTTTATAATTACACCAAAAAGAATAAAATATCTAGGAATAAATTTATCAAAGGAGGTAAAAGACCTGTACTCAGAAAACTATAAGACATTGAAAAAAGAAATTAAGAGTCTCGAGCTCTAGCTGGTAGCGAAACATATGCACTCCGGTTCTTCAGTACCAGCAGCCGCCATCAACACCATTTGATTCCTCTGGGCACATCTGTGCCACTTACCCGCCAAACACTCCACTGTCATAAACTTTTCGTATAAACTTTTTAAAGAGATGAGTGATAGAGCTAACCCTTATCTGTAAGTTTTGAATTTATATTGTTTCTTCCCGTGTACAAAACCATTTTTTTCCCTACAAATAGTTGTGTGTGTGTGTGTGTGTGTTGGGATATAAAGGAAAGCAGAATGTTTTATTATAATTTTGCTTCAGCAGCTATGGGACAAATTAAAAGTTCTAAACTCTAGTGCCAAAAAAAAAAAGAAAAGAAAGAAATTGAAAAGGACACAAATAAATGGAAGGATATACCTGGTTCATGGATTAGAAGGATTAATATTGTTAAAATGACCATAATACCGAAAGCAACCAACAGATTCAGTACAATCTCTATAAAAATTCCAGTGGCATTCTTCTCAGGACTAGAAGAAATAATCCTAAAATTTATATGGAATCACACACACAAACAAATAGCCAAAGCAATGTTCAGAAAGAATAACAGAGATGGAGATATCACACTTTTTTATTTCAGACTATACTACAAAGCTATAATAATCAAGAAAGTATGGCATAAAAATAGACACACAAATCACTGGAACTGAATAGAGAGACCAAAAGAAAACCTCCACCTGTGGGGCCAGTGAATCTATCACAAAGGAGACAAGAATATACAGTGGAGAAATAGTCTCCTTAATAAGTGGTGCTGGGGAAAGTGGAAAGATACATCCAAAAAAAATGAAACTAGACCACTCTCTTACACCATATATAAAAATAAACTCAAAATAGATTAAAGACTTAAATGTAAGACTTGAAACCATAAAACTCCTAGAGGAAAACAGAGGTAGAAAACCACTTGACCTCAGTTTTATTAATATCTTTTTTAATATATCCTCCTGAGCAAGAGAAACAAAAGCAAAAACAAAATGGGACTTCATCAAAATAAAAAGCTTCAGCACAGGAAGGAACCATATATCCAATAAAGGGTGGATATCCAAAAAAATATAAGGAACTCATTCATATGGCTAACAAACAATAGCAACAACAAAACCAATCTGATCAAAAAATGGGCAAGGACATGAAGAGACATTTCTTCAGAGAAGAACTACAGATGGCTGAAGGACATGAAAAAATACTCAATATCATTAATCATCAAGTAAATGCATATCAAAATCAGAATGAGATCACCTCAAACCTATTAGAATGGCTTTTAGAAAAAAAGTCAACAAATAAGTATTGATGAGGGTATGTGTGTGTGGGGGAGGGGGGGAACCCTTGTACATGTTGGTGAAACTGCAAATGGATACAGCCACTATGTAAAACATTATGAAGACTTCTCAAAATGTAAAAATAGATACACTGTACAACCCAGCAATTCCACTCTGGGCATTTATCTGAAGGAAATAAAAACAATACCTTTAAAAGATATATGCATTCCTGTGTTCATTGCAGCATACTTACAATCCTATATAACAAAGCCTAATATGCTAAGTGTCTGGTAGTCGGGTCATCTAGTCAACCAATCAAAGCATAATATGCTAATGATATGCTAAGGTCGCTCAACTGCTCGCTATGACGTGCACTGACCACGAGGGGGCAGATACTCCGACTGGTAGATTAGCTTGCTGCTGGGGTCCAGCCGATTGGGACTGAGCGAGATGGGCCTGACACGCCCTGGAGCCCTCCTGCAGTCCCTCCCCAGCTGGCCAACCTTCCATGTCCCTCCCCGACCCTGATTATGCACCAGTGGGGTCCCTGGGCCTGGCCTGCACCCTCTAGCAATCCGGGACCCCAAGGGGGATATCGGAGAGCTGGTTTCGGCCCAATCCCACACAATGCAAGAGCTGCCTCTGTGCTAGGGATGTCCCTGTGGGGAGTGGGCCTAAGCCATCAGTCGGACATCCCCTGAGAGCTCCTGGACTGCGAGAGGGCACAGGCTGGTCTGAGGGACCCCCTTCCCCCCGAGTGCACAAATTTCATGCACCTAGGCCTCTAGTAGTTAACATATGGAAGCGACCTAGGTGTCCAGTGATAAATGAATGGATGAAGGTGTGGCATATATACAATGGAGTATTACTCAACAATAAAAAAAGAAATCCTGCCATGTGTAACAATATGCATGGACCTAGAGGATATTATGCTAAGTGAAATAAGTCAGACAGAGAAAGACAAATACCACCTAATTTCATATATATGTTGAATTTTTTAAAAATTAAAACAAATGAAGAAACAAAACAAAATAGAAATAAAGAACAAATTAATGGTTGTTGCCAAAGGGGAGGATAGTAGAGGAATGGATGAAAAACGCAAAGGGGAATATAGTCAATAATTGTCTGATAAATTGGCACAGTGACAAATGATTACTAGACTTAGTGTGGTGATCACATTGTAATTAAGATATATAAATATCAACCACCTGAAACTAATATTTTATGCCAACTATATTTTAACTTAAAAAGATGAACACAAATGATCAGAAATGAGCATAGAAAAGTAGTTTTCACAAGAAAAACTTTAAAACTTGTAGGAATTAAGAATTATGTACAAAGTGTTAGCAAATTTTACCTTATTTTTTTTATCATTTTATTTTCAGGTTTAACTGAGCTGAATGACAGTCCAGTCCCCCTGGAACTTGAGCGCTGCAAGTCTCCCACTTCAGGTAAACATGAGTGGTATTTTTCAGGCTTCTGCTAACTCACTGTCATAATCTACTGCTTTATTTTCTGAATTCTTATAATGTAAGATTTGTTATTTTAGTAAAGTGGTAATTCAGTTTCTGTAATTAACCATAAGCAAATTTGATTCCAAAATTAAATAGAAATAAATGTTTGTAAAAATATTTTGGCTTCTTGAAAAATTAACATCAGAGATATTAGTGCAATACTTTTAAAGACATTTTAACCTGGCCGGTGTGGCTCGCTGGTTGAGCATCGACCATGAGGTCATGGTTCAATTCCTGGTCAGGGCAAATGCCCTGGTTGCAGGCTCCATCCCCAGTAGGGGGTGTGCAGGAGACAGCTGATAGATGCTTCTCTCTCTTCATTGATGCTTCTATCTCTCTCTCCCTCTCCCTTCATCTCTTTGATAGTATAGGATTTTCAATTTTGTTTTTGTGGTTCTTTTTAAAGAATGTTATAGTTCTTCTTGGTCTTTTGTGTTAGCTTTTTGAAACAATTAGTTTGCACACAAACAAATATGTTGGATAGTGATTGCAATTTCATTGGACCTATAGATTAATTGTGCAAAATTAGCATTCGACAATATTGAATTTTCCACTTGGTATCTCTCCATTTATCTCTTCTTTACATTCAGAAATATTTTTAGTCTTCTTTGTAGAGGACTTGCACACCTTTCATTGGATTTAATCCTTTGTATTTAATTTTTTATATTGTAAATTTTAAAATTTATTTTTCTTATTTTTTTGGCTAGAATATAAAAATACAATTAATTTTTTCCACATTATTTTTAATGGCATTTTTAAAATATATTTTACAGAAGATTACAAGCATTCCACACACTAGGTTCACCTATGTATTCCTGCAATGAGTGAACCATTCCCTATAGGTAATGCATAGATTAGTCTATGACATAATATATAATCAATACATTTGTATCTCTCTTTTGTTTTTGCTCAATCCCTCCAGCCCTTAAGCCCCCCCACACCAGAGCTGTCTGCCTGCTCTCTCTGAGTCTTTCTCTATTTTGCGTGTTAGTTCAGTTTGTTCGTTAAATTCCATATATGAATGAAATCATATGGTACTTGTCGTTCTCTAACTGGCTTATTATATTTAGCGTAATGTTTTTTAGGTCCATCATAATTTTTATATATTAAATTTATATCCAGGAAACTTGATAAATTTATTTAACTCCAATAACTTGTAAATTCTTTTGAATTACCTATGCATCTGATTATACCCCCTGTTAAAATGACAGTTCTATTTCTTCTTTCTAAAGGAAGAAATTAGCTAGAACCCCAAATACAATGTTGAATAGATATAGTGTTAGCAAGCACATTTTCCTTATTCTCAATCTCAGGGATAAGTCTTACAGTATTTCATAATTATGGTAATTGCTGTGGTTTCTAGTTAGACATCCTGCTTTTAGCCCTCTCTGCCTATGATATTCCTTCTTTTTTTATTATTGATTTTTTAGAGGGAGAGAGAGAAACATCGCTTTGTTGTTCCACTTATTTATGCATTCATTGATTGGTTCTTGTATGTGCCCTGACGGAAGATTGAACTCATAGCCTTAGTGTATTGAGACAATGCTACCAATTGATCTACCCGGCCAGGGTTGATGTTTCTTCTTTTATTAATGTTAGAGCAGTTCTGGAAACACCACCATCACATTTTTAATTTTTTTTTTTTGGCAGACTCAGAGGAATTTGCATGCAATCAACTAGATTGCTCCAAAGCAGAAAGATTTTGAATACATTTGAATTCTGTTAGTTGGGACAGCCATGATTGACTAATAAAATTAATTGATCATTTCAGTGGCTTGAGACTGGTTTGCTGGTCAGGTTCTGCTCTTCTTTCGTAGCAACTTTAAATTATAAATAATCCTAATTGAGGAATTAAGAGATATTTTTTCTTTTAAAAGCTTTTTAGTCATTATATATTATATTTGTTATAATATGTGAAGTATATTTTTCTGGGGAAAGTGCCAACAGAACTTAATTTATCTTATTTAATATTGAAAATAATCAATATTTGTTTGTGTCATTCATTTACCATGAAAAAGAAAAATAAGTAAGTGTGTATATGAAGGGGTCTTTTTAAGTCCACAAAGGCGAATGTGTCCAATACTGTTTCCAGAATACTATAGCAACACATACACATAAAACTACATTCTACAATCTCTTGCTATTGTTATAGGACTTACTGCATCCAATCTAGATTATCAGGAAAAACATGGGATAAATGCAGACTTTTTAGCCCAGTCTCATACAACTAAAGTATAACTATGAAAAAAGCAAATTTAAGACTTTAACAGTTGTTTACAAAACTCATGAAGCTTATCTCTAGAGGTAGAAAAGAATGAAAATATAAACAATTAAAATGTTTAAATGACTTATGAATGACAGATCTCTCTCTCTCTCTCTCTCTCTCTCTCTCTATATATATATATATATATATACACACATATATATAATTAAGAGAAACTAGAATATTTGTAATACATTCTAACTTTTGAAAAAATAAGAAAAGCAGCATCCTAACAAGTCTCCTTGATTTATACACTAATAAACAGCTCATTAGGTCTGACTAATAATAATTTTGTTTGTTTCTGGGTATATATCCCCTTTTTATGCATACATAGTATTTAAGAGCCAAAAGTTTTCTTCCCTTGTTTCTTAATGAAGTGGTTCTGAAACTTAACTCTATGTCAGAATTTTGTACAGTTTGTTAAAACACAGATTGCTGAATGCCAGAGCTGGATTCCAATTCAGTAAGTCTAGAGTGGGGCCTGAGACTTTGCCTTTCTAACAAGTTCTAATGGTCTTTGAACCACTTGAGAACCATGGCTTTGTGAAATTTGTTTAAATATTATTTTTTAAGTAGTTATTTGACCTCTCAGTATCTATTTTGGGATCTCAGACCCTCATCCCTGTGCTAAAAACAGATTAAAACATTAACACACATATATCTGAGTAAGAGAGGTTGGAAATTACAGAAGCTGGAGACCAGTAATCATTTTATAACTCTGATTTTCTACATGGATCTCAAACTTCTTTTTAGCCCAATAAACTACAAGTAAAGTAGAGTGAGGTTTCGGACTATTAAATATATTCTTTAGGATAATGTGAGAGAACAGAGTAGGAATTAGGAGCTGAAAGAATCCCAGTGAGCCAGCCAGAAAGCTGATGTTCTCAGCTTCCAGGAAAATGTAGTCATTTCATATTTAATTATTCACCAACTATTCAACAAATATTTTTCAGCATCTATACTTAGATAAGTTGCTTTCCACTGAGAATAAACTAATGAACAAAATAAACACTCCATGCCAAATGGAACTGACAGTATATCTACAGAAACCAACATTAAACTAATAATTTTACAAATTGTTAGTTGTTTTTTCTTAAAACTGTAATCCTTCTTCTCTTACCAGGTAAGATCGTTGGGCAGTTTGTTTACTACATAAACATACCTCTCAAAGGGGTGAGCAGGAGCTAACATTCAGCCCTTGGCAAAGAATTACAATCCCCTAGACTGGAAACAATACCTTTTTCTTTGGACAAAGAGTTGAAAGCTAATGAAGCCTTCAACTGTAGGGTTATGTCTGTTCACAGGTGTGAATTTTTCTACTTTGTCTTCCTTGAAGCTGTGCCTTTAAAAATCATTTGCTCAGATGAATATCTTTTTGTAGCCTGGCATTAGGTCCTAATACTGCTGCTACCTATACAGCCATCCATCCTCATGATTCTCACCATCCACAATATACAATAGACTTCTTATACTATCAAGTTCAAGTGAGGGTTAGGGTGATATTTGTCTTTATAAAATATATTTATTTAGGCATCTTTAATAAAGATATATTTATTAAAATATCATGGGGGCGAATGTCTCAAAATACTAATAAGGAAGTAACCAGGTCTGTTCTCAAATATGAGTTATAACTAGTTCTTAGAGCCTGTTCTGAATGCTCCTTCTGTGTGATTCTATACACCTGGAATTCCATTCTACCCTCCAAAGAAGAAATCTTCCCTTTAAAGAAGTCTTCTGTTGGGGCAGTACCAAAATACACAGATAAAGGCATAAAACAGAGACCCTTCTACATAGTTACCACAAAAGTTGCCTCTAAGGTAAAAATTCTTGGTTCAGTTGGACTAAGAAATTACATGCCAAAAGTTTTTTATTCCTTTTCTTTAGGACTTCCTACCAGAACTCCCGAGGCAGCACCTGGCTTTTATAGGAATGAAATACCAGCTGTGAGACAGAGGAATCAAGTACATCATTTGCCAGGTGAAAGTGAAAATCTGTTTCATAAACAAACAAGTTATTCATACCACCACAATTTTCTAGACTTCACAATTTGTATCAAAAGCTTTATTCTTATTTGTTGTGCTGGAACACAGATCCCTCATGGTGAATGAAGACAAATTTCCCCGAAGCAATGGTTAACACTGACTTCATGAATAGAAAGCAGAACCCTTAAGGGTTTTGTTAACAATTTTGAAATGTTCCATAGAATTTTGTTTTCTACTCTACACCTAAATTATTTTATCAGGCCTATAAGAAAATATGGAGGGGCCAACATAGAATTCGGGGAAAACTTAAGGGCCAAGAAATAAAGTGGTTTTATAAAAATTTTCTATAATTCTTCATAATAAAATTAAATATTTTCTATGATCAGAAACAACTATGATGATCATGGGAACTCCATGAAAGAACTGCCTCAAAGGAACAATGTTCTCTCAAAAATAGTGAGCAGAAAGTTAGGTCCTATAATCTGAATTTTATGTAGTTATTGGATATTTGATGGTGCTCATAGGGGCCAAATCACAAGCAAACTCAAGTTATGCAGCTTCCTTAATTAGGAAACTATTACAGAGTGGTTGTGACCAGATCTGCAACTTTAAAAACCATGAATTATCAATACTCTAAACCCTAAATAAATTCAGCAACCAAGAAACCTAAAGATAATTGAAATCAACAGTTT